AAGGACGGAGATTGTATTCGCGGAGGCGCTCCTCGGTGAGGGAGGTGGAGGACGAGGGTTTTAGGGTTAGGGTTTTGGAATTGGGGCTGGCCATCGTTGAGATGGGAGTGAGGGAGGAGAGACATTGGAGGAGGTTTTGGGGAGAGTAGGGTTAGGGTTTCGATGGGAACAAGGAGAGAGGGCGACCTGGGCGAGCTTCACGATGGTGGATTGAGTTTGAATTTGGAGGAGAAGTTGAGCGAGCTGGGGATCCGGTGACTAGGACGTTCAACTTAGGAGGGAGAGAGTATTTATGTATTTTTTGGGTTTGGTCATGAAATCTTTCGTGATTTTGCATTAGTAACCAAATCTTTCATATACTTGTAGCTGTAGTGCAATTGTACAAACTCCCAAGTTCTAAATGTTAACTTACATCTCCAGATGAGTTTTATGTTTGGTAATTACCCTAGGGCTTGTTTGGATTGAGGGGAATGAGGGTGAAGGGAAGTTAGGGGAACCATTCACTTCTATTCACCTTGTTTGGGAACACTTAGGAGGTGAAGTTAATTCACCCTAGTTCCCCTTGGTTCACCCCTTAATAGTATAAAAATTGTTACCCCAAATTGGGGTGTAACCAAGGGGAAGGGAATTCCCTTCCCTTCCCTTCCCTTCCCTTCCATTCACTCAGTTTTCCTTAACTTCCCTTCACCCCCTACAAATCCAAACAGGCCCCTAAATTTGGGTCTGGGCCAGCTACCCTAGAGCTGAACCAGGATCCTCTCCTCATGAGGAGAGTTCCTAGTATCTCCTCATGAGGAGAGAGATAGAGATAGAGATAGAGAGAAGAGAGAGTGAGGTTGTTCTCTCTCCTCTCAACCTCACTCTCTCTCCTGTCTATCTCTATCTCTCTCCTCACGAGGAGATATTAGGACTCTCCTCATGAGGAGAGGATCCCGGTCCCCTAGAGCTCGCCCTAACCTTATTTTAAACAAAAACAATTTTGTTTTGGACTAATTGGGACTTGGGAGGTGGTCCAAGATCGAAACCGACTTATAAGTCAAAATTGGCCTTAGAAACTGACCTAGTTTGGTCAGTTTTACCCGAGTGGTTTTTGTTTTTAAGCTCATTTGTTTATTTAATTTTATCTTTAAACTTAATCATTATTATTTATATCTTTAAACCTAATTCTTTTTTTGTATTTGTTTCTAAACCAAATTTTTAAAATACAATATTTTCATATGCGGGCCCCCCTAATTTTTTTTCATAAATTCCAATTATAGTCTTATAGCCTTTCATGTAAGTGGGCCCCTTTAAAAAAATAAAAAATAAAGAAAAATAAAGAGAGAGAGAGAGAGAGAGAGAGAGAGAGAGAGAGAGAGT